AATTCTGGTTCCTTTCCTATCCTCATGTTTCTCTTGCCAAGATCTGCAAAGATGGCAGATTTTTACATAAACCTTCTTGGGTTCTGACCTTTACAACACTTACAGTCTACAAAAATATCTTTATATGTATTTTCCCATTCTAGTTTTTTTTTGTTGTTGTTGTCGTTTTGTTTTATTTTTTTGGAGACAGGGTCTTGCTGTGTTGCCTGGGCTAGAGTGCAATGGTGTCATCATAGCTCACTGCAACCTGAAACCCCTGAGCTCAAGCAATCCTCCTGCCTCAGTCTCCAGAGTAGCTGGGCCTACAGGTATGTGCTGCCAAGCCCAGCTGATTTTTATATTTTTTGTAGAGATGGGGTCTTGCCATGTTACCCAGGCTGATCTTGAACTCCTGAGCTCAAGCGATTCTCCTGCCTTGGCCTTCCAAAGTGGTAGGATTACAGACATGAACCATTGTGCCTGGCCCCCATTCTAGTTTTGAACCTTAAAATAATTCTGTGAGGTCAGAGGGGATGGTTGCTAAATTCCTGTTTCACTGAAGAGGAAATTAGCTTTAAGAAGTCTAATGATGTATTTGTGTCCATGTAGCTAATAAATGGCCTTTTAAGGACTTAAACTTAGATCTTGTCTCTTATTTCAGTGTTTTTTCTACATGATAGGGGTTGGCAGGGGGTGGGGTGGGGGCACGCGTGGGGAGGGGGGCTGCTCTGACCTCCACTTCGAACAGACCTTACAATTTATTTCAGGAAGTAGCCAATTCTCTAGCATGCAGGATTAATGTGTTAGATCTCCTAAGACAATACTTTACTCCCCAGATAATTATTCAAAAGGTAAAAATATTAGATACTGTGTAGTTAGTACGATAAAAATCAGTCGATGAAAAAGACCTTTGAGTAAATTCCCTTAAATTTCTCCTGATCTCTTGTGCACGAGGCCAGCTCCCCTTGTGAGAATATGTTCCTTAGCTAGGTGCAGACCTATCAAGGGGAAAGCTCTGTACAGCATCTTTTTTTTAATTTAATTTTTTATTAAAACATAATAATGACATATATTTATGGGATACATGTGGTATTTTATACAGGCATACAATGTGGAATGATAAAATCAGGGTAAGTTGGCTACCCGTGACCTCAGACATTTATCATTTCTTTGTTTTGGGAACATTTCCAATCTCTTCTAGCTGTTTCGAAATATATATCCTTACAGGGTTTCTGCAGACCCAAGATGACTTGGCTACTTCAAAGTAGGGAAGTTACCCCAATATGGGCAGTGTTAGCTGCCACCTCCTGCGGGAGCCCTTCCCAGCTCTCCCTTCTATGTTGGGCCTGAGGAAGGCCTGGAAACAGCATTTCCCAAGCTATCTTTCTAGCAGAGTTTTTATCTAGAGTTTCCCTCTGAGAAAGACTCACCAGAGGTTTGGAAAGCAAAAGAAAAGGAGAAACCATTACCCTCTGGTGACAGCTATACATAGTTGGTATAGGCAGAAATAAAATGTTATTCCTGCATTTTCACACATTTTGAAAGTCAGCCGCAATTTTTCCTGAGTTCCTCTCCCTTAGGAATTCTATCAGTTACCTTAGCATCACATTTCCTGTATTAAACCCTTTTCCACTTATAATTTCTAACACGGTATTTTTTTTTCCTGATTCAATTTTGACCAATTATCACACTTTGCCCATGGTGTACTTTTGATATTCACGTTTGTTTCTTTCTCTGGATGGAATCTCTTGAAGGCATATGTGTGTCTAACTTATCTGTCATCCCCAATACTTACCATATAAAAGGTATTCAATAAATGCTGTTAAAACATAAAGAATAAATTTGAGTTGGGGGAAGGTGAGATATTTTGGAGCAAGTGAAGAATCGAATATCCTGAATAGGGGATAAAAGGAAATATTCCAAGTGTTATTATTTAATTCTAGACTTATTTTCTGTGAGTCAATTAGTTATAAGCATTTATACACTGCCTTGACTAAGACATTCTATGCCCAAAAAATCCTCTTCGTAATGAAGTTCAGGAATATTTGTATGCCATGCAAATTAGTTTTCAAGTCGATGATGATATGGCTTCTAATTGAGATCCATGAGTGGTGACCACCACAAGAGAACTACCCATATTTAAAAAATTGTTTCAACCCATAGCTGGAGATGGAGAAGGCCAACACTGGGTTAAACATAAAATTCTGATCCCTAATAAACATCGGGCACCTCAAACACCATCTTAACATTTACATCCAGAGAAAGCCCCAACTATGTCAGACACTGGGTTAAGCATTTTAGACACAGAAAAATGTGGCAGAGAGCCACAGGCCCACATCACAAAGGGCCCTGTGAGCCACACAAAGGGGCTTGGACTGAGCTGAGGAGTCTATCGAGAGCCATTAAAAACAAGTCCTATGGCCAGTGAAGTTCTGCTCAGAATTTAGGGACCCAGATGTCAGGTCCCTGCCCCTGAAATTCTCCAGTTCTAGGGTATTCCATGGGCCCCAAGGGGAGAACATGATGACATGGACATTTCAAAAGATCCCCATCTGCACTGTAGAGGACGTTTTACAAAGCTTATGATTGACACATAGGAGGACCAGCTACAAAGCTGTTTGGGTGGAGCAGGTGAGAAGAAATCTGGTTGCTGGGCATGGTGTTCTAGAAGAGATAGAGGGGTAAAAGGTCCAAATGAACAGAATTTTAATCCTTTTTCTTCTCTCTCTCTCTCTCTTTTTTTTTTTTTGTTGTTGTTGGTTTGTTCTGTAAATTAAATATTTGTCTGAAATTTTTTTTTCTGGACATTTTATTTCATTTTCATTTACATCAAATATTAATAATATTTTATAGTATCATCTATTTACCTGATGGTTTGGAATACAGGTGTACTATATGATCATAACATCTGTTAGCAAATTTTCTGACAGGTGTGATCTTTAATGTATTTTGGGCTTGGAAGAGGTATTAGTGTATTTACTCAGATGTGGAATACCAATTTGTCCTTTTCTTTAAAATACAAAATCCTACATAGAAAACAAAAGAAGCATAAAGTTGGTCTGAGTAATGTGTTTCTAAACTCTGTGGTTAAATAATTATGGCACATTTTTTACAGACCCACAGACTATTTTGCTGGCCCTGAGGGCATCTTGTGCTAGGCCCACGGGGTGACCCTTTTTTGGAGTCAGAGGCCTGTGTGTCAATAATTTCCTCTCTACTCTTTGAAACGACTCCTGTTTGTTTGTTTTTCACTGTGAAAAAGACTGTTCCTTTTTAATACTTGTGATAATTGTTTTTACTTTAAAGTATCTACTTTAAGAACCACAAACTAGTAGACAGCTTTAAATCCTCAAGAAGTGATAAAACTACCATCAGGTTTTTAAGTTTTCTAACCTTAAGTTTAAATCATTTTAAAGCTTATGTTTCCTAAAGATGATCACGAAAAGCATGAAGTGCTAGCTACTTCCTATTTTCTGACTCATTGTTCTACTGGAAAATCTATACAACTGGAATTTAGAGAGAAGCATTATAGATTCAGGACGCTAGTTTAGTATTCGACCAACATGCTAATTGATTTCAGCTTCACAAAACTGTTGGCGTGAAGGGGCCCTGGCACAGGCTGGACCTGAAGGATTTCACAGGCCAGCCCTTCAATAAAGTCAGGGTTTCTAAAACCTGAGAAGAATTTCACTGAATCGTAGGTCGGAAAGGTGGTAGAATACTGTCTGTTGTTTTAAAGGCGAGATGAGTGCTGTTTTGAAGGCAAGAGGTGGGTGGATGGGGCAATGCAAGAGTTATTTATTCTTTCCTTAGTCATTTCAGGACTCCAAGTTTCCTCATATTAGGAAATTCATGCCTGTGATTATTGTGCTTTCTCGTACTGTAAATCATGTCTCCCCTTCTTCTGATTCCTGTGCGGTCCGACAGCAGCAGGATGTCCTTCTTACTATGATAAAGGATTCCGATGATATTTGAAACTGTATGTGTCAAATTTCATTCTAACAAAATAAAGATTTCCCAAATGACTGACTTCTAACTCAAGATTTTAGGTACTACCTGGAGGAGGCAGTAGCTTGGAAATAAGATTTTTGTCTGAGGGTTAAATAATAAACCAGTTCAGAAATGTACAAAGTCACCAGAAGAGACAGACTGTGACTTAACTGAAGGTATGGATAGGAAGGAGAGGAAAGTGGGCCAGTCAGAAAGTGGCAGTGGTGACACAAAGGACAGGCAGGGTCTCAAAGGCAGACACTGGTGGGGCCCATCCGAGCACCACCATATGCAGAGACAGTGCCCTCAAGGACTCTTGACCTTGAGGAACATGGCCCAGTACACGCAGAAGCACGCTTCAGCCCACAGCCTGTCGCCAGCTCTCCAAGATCTGATTCCAGGCTCATCAGGCATGTGGATAATAAGAATTCCCATAAAATGTGTCTCTTAGGACGCAACGACCAGAGAGTTCAGGTGTTAGCGCCTCTTTGGTAATTAGTGGTTCTTTTCTAAATTATCAATACAGTAAGCATATCTCTGATCTTGCTTAATCTGATATTGCCTCTGGGACATTGAGGTTTTGTGCCACTTTTATGCTAAAGTGGATTCACAGTGGTGATAAAGGCCACACAGTGCAGGTGCAGATGAAGAGCCGGTGACCTGCAGAGGAAGACACCTGTCCTTTTCCAATGCTCTAGGTGCATACCGTAATTGTGTTCCTTTCTCCCCAATTGCCTCTGTGAAAATGTACTCTTTGGGCTACTAGCCATTCCAGACTCTGTACACATATTAGAGCCATTTAAAAATATAAACTTAAAAAATAATTTAATATCAGAGAGGGCCATCCCAGGCTACTTAAAGATGAGAATCTCTGTGCACTAGCACCACTTAAAAGCCCTCTGGGTGATTCTAATATGTCCCTAGGGTTGAGAACCATTGGCTGCGCTATTGATAAGAAGAGCATTTTCTGGTAGGGTGAGGAGGAAAAGTTCCCTAATATATATTTTAAAACATTAATGAACATTTTACAGATAAAGCACCTGAGACTCAGAGACTTGAGGCAACTTGCTCAAAGCTGAATAACTAACAGGTAATGGGGCTGGGATTTAAACATAGATATTTCTTTTATAAAATACCAACTTTTTCCATGATATCTGGGAGAATGTGGTACAGAAGGCAGGAACTCTACTAGATTCTGGTGAAGGGAGAGAAGAGAGGGCAAGTGGATGGCAGGAAGAGCATCCAGAGTGTGCGTAGAGTGGAGTTTTCCAGAGGTTCTGTGACATGGCATGATGCCATTGTTCTGGTGGAACGTTGCTTGTGTATTCTGTGCTTGGACATTTTCCCAGTTTTAATTTCTAAAATGGTAAATATAAACCGATATAACACACATAAGCAAAAGCTCTCTGGGGTCCTGAACAATTTTTGAAAGTGCTAAGACCAGAAAGATCCTATTCTAGAGAGAATAGGAAGCCATAACATATACACATATATATTTATGTGTATGTATATGTGTGTATATATATATATATACATATATGTATGTATGTAGTGGTGGGAGACAAGAATGAATACTCAAATTGGTTCAAATTATAAAGAACCTTGCATAAAATGTTGGAAATTGGACTCCAAATCCTTTTGCTCTCATACCACCTTTAAAAATATTTTGGGGCTGGGTGTAGTGGCTCACTCTTATAATCTCAGCACTTTGGGTGGCTGAGGTGGGAGGATTGCTTGAGGTCAGGAGTTCAAGAGCAGCCCGAGCAAGAGCAAGACCCCATCTCTACTAAAAATATAAAAATTAGCTGGGCGTGGTGGTATGTGCCTATAGTCCCGGCTACTTGGGAGGCTGAGGCAAGAGGATCACTTGAGCCCAGAAGTTTGAGGTTGCTGTGAGCTAGGCTGATGCCATGGCACTCTACTCAGGGCAACAGAGTGTGACTCTGCCTTAAAAAAAAAAAAAAATAAAATATATATTATATATATATATATTTGAACATGCATTCACAATGTATGTATTATTTTAAATCAATTCTAATGCACTATCATATTGAATATTAAAAATCACAAAATATAAGAATTTTAAAACAATGAGATAAAGATAATGTAAGCAATATTTTAAAAGCAATATTTTATTAATGGTAAAACACCTTTTGATATCAATAAGAAATAATAATAAAATTAATAAATTAAAGCCATTCCCAAATCTAAGTTCACTTTGTTGTAATCCTTTATGTTAACAGAGCTGAAATGACACCTCAAGAAGATAGGAAAAAAGATAAGATAAAAAAATCACTGGGTGTGCTTCCTAATTCATGATTCATTATATTCCATTCCCAGTTATCAAGTATGCAAAAGTTTTTGTTGAACCTCTGCTAGTATATTCCTGTCTTCTTTGATGTCAATTACATAGGAAGGTGTAAAGATAAGCTGATATTTCCAACAAATGGATTCAAAACCCTTTGAAACTCTTCATTTGGGTAATTTTTTAAAGACTAGAAAATTTTTTTTCCAAGTTTATCTGTGCAGACAAGAGAGTTTGTAGGCGGTACGTCTACACTGTCTCTGAAGGCATGGATGAGTGAAGGTGCTTCTGGCACCCCTGTGCCCCAGCTGAAAAACGTACACAGTGACAGTGATCCACTGACGATGACAAAGTCAGAGAGCACTAGCATACATTTAAAAATCAAATATTATTAGCAAAATTTTGTTTATATCATATTTTTTAAGATTAAAAAATAAACTCAGAGGTCTCCTGTTTTCTTGCTTCACTGCCTGGTGGCATGCACCCTACTTTGGTATTTGGGAGCACTAGAAAGCCATCGGGGAGTCTGAATTAGAGGACGCATGCCCAGGTCTATGATGTACAAGCATAGGTAACAACAGTAAGGGGACAGCAAGAGAGGGGGCTGGAAAGAAGCATCTGAGGCAAAGGGAGAGAGGAAGGCTGGGGCCCGAACTGGAGCTTCAGAAGGTTGATGGGGGTGGGCAGACAGATTTGAGACACATTCTGGAGTAATACATAAAGTTTATATGTGGGAGGTGGGGGGAAAAATCCAGAGGTGGCTAGGAAGATGACAATGCCCTTCCTTTCCTAAGCATGGAAACAAGAGGGTGGGCATGAAATCTGAGTTCAATTTTGGATGGTATGAGCTTTCCCCCTGTGTGGTATAAGGGCAGCATTCTGCAGCATTGGGAGTGAATATCTGGGCAAGCTGAAGCAAAGCCAGTTCCTTCCAAGCTTTATTTTTCAGCCCTCTAATCCCTGGACTCTTTGTCTTTTTGGAAAGTTATCAATTTCTTTGAGACTCTGAAGAAAGCCATGGGTTTCCGCTCAGGAAAAATGAATGTATGCACTGCGACATAAAATTGTGCATATACTTTATAGGACCCCCATTCCCCCAGAGGTCCCTCCACGACCCCAGATGGGAGCCTTGCTCTAACTGGCTTCCTGGATACTATCTAAACCTGCTCTATTTCCCAGTCTATGTGCCAATCCTCTGAGTCGGAGATAATTTGCTAATTGTAAGTCATTTCCTATTTTAGAAACGCTCATGACTTATGGTCAAATGCTTGTGTTCATTATGGTGATTGAAGAATTGTAATTTCTTAATGCTGGGTGAGAGATGGGAGAGAAAATGGAGAAAAAAGGAGGAGACCCATTCTGAGACTATGTGATTCCTCAGGGCCAGCATTCACATGGCTCATGCAGGATGGGATGCAATAGAAAATACACACAACCATCTGAACATGATTCTTGGGTCACTGAATGAGAACCTAATAGGAGGTATAGAAGAACAAGTTAAATAAATGATCCAAGAGAGCAATCAACCAAATCCAGAATGCAGGAGAGTCTATGGAACAAAGGACCCAATTGCTGTAACAAACTAATAGCATGAAAAATTAAAAGGGACTATTGCAGAATAAAAGAGCTTCAACAATTAAAAGCAATAGGATTTTTTCTTGTATAGAGGACAATTTGAGAAATTAGAATACATACTTGGGATTTGGATCATGTTAATAAAATAATTTAGCTGGGTGTAATAATGGTGGTTATGTAAAAAGAACGTGTTATCATCAGAGACACACGCTGAAGTTATTTGTGGGTGTGAGGACACAATACACAGTATCTGGGATTTGCTTTCAAACAGTCCAGCAAAAAAAGGAGGTAAGAGATAAAACCAAAAAAGGGAAAGTAATTGATGAAACAACATTTGGCAAAATGTTAATAATTGTTGAAACTGGAAGGTGGATATATGAGGGTTCATTTCCTACTTTTTCATACATGAAAGTTTTCTATAAGTTAAAAAGATTATAAATGATTTTTTTAAAGTGTGGTTCTAAAGTCTGGCTGATCACAAGAATCACCTGGGGTGCTTAAAACAACTCGATTCTGGGAGCTGCACAGCCCCAGAATCAATCCTCTGTGGGTACATTTGTACTGGATGGAAGCTGGGGATGAAGGCTTGAGGGTGGGAGGCGTCGTAATTTCACGGCCATGCCATGTCTTCTGACATGTCTGACCTGGGACATCTTACACCAGTCTTCCTTCTCCCCTGCCCATTTCTCTTTCCTCCTCCCTCTTGTTTTCTCTTTCTTCACTGTATGAACCCTTAGGGCAGGAACCTTCGGCGGAACACAGGGTCCTAGCACGTCCTTCCTACTCCCATCTGGGCCTCAGTGTCCCATTGTTGAACCGGAGGCCTGAGCCTGAGTATATGGCCCTGCCCTCATGCAATTGTTATTAAAAAGCTACCCTACTACCCATAGGTAACAGACACACCCATCACTTGAGTGTACATAAAAAAATAAAGTCACTTAGGAAGCACAGCCTTAATATTTGAGCCATTTTTTGCTTTTAGCCACTCATCAATAGAAAACATCAAAATTTGTTCTTAAATAATTTATTTTTAAATTTTGACTCTTGTGAAAAGTTACATTTATTTAGGAAAACTTGAAGAAATCCAACGAAGAATAGATAGCTTTCTATTAGGGACAACTATATGTGCAAATTTCAAATACTTTCTATAATAAGTATAAATAATTCTGTTTATTTCACATTAAGAATGAAAATATTGATAGACACAAAATATTAAGATACCATCTTTAACAGGACCAGATGAAAACATTGAAGTTTATTTGACATCTTCGGAAAGAAATTATAGAGGTTTATGTGTCAGGGGAAAGAATTTAGAGAATTCTAAGTAGAAAACATCAGGTAACAAGAATCACAAATAGGTTCAGGTCCTAAGTTCAGACCCAAAGTATAACCACCTTTCTTCCTGGGAAAATGCATTTCCCCTTTTATTCTAGAGCGAGTATAACAGCAACACAATGCACAGAGAGAAACTGCAGGCCAACAACAGAAAGAAATTTCCACATACTCACTGTTACTGGGTTTTGCTGTTCCAATGCTGGGGTGCCCCAGGACACAGGGTCACTTGCCCAGCCCCCCAGGACACTGCACTAACACAGCAAATAAAACCATCACAAAAGGCCACTTCTTTCCCTGTGACCCTCCCCAATCTCATCTCTGCTCCTTCCCTATCTTCTCTCCAAGGAGGTAGGATACTCAGAGGCATCTACAGAGCACAGAGACCAGTTTCTTTTCATGTGGCTGGAGTTTCGTAAGGAGAAGCATGAGACTTGAATGAATTTACTCTTGACACAATTCCTACTTTCCTAGGGAGGCCAGCAGAGTGTATCAAAGACGCCTACTCCCTCACTGTGGTCAAGAACTTGTCTGGTTCCACAACCTGACCCAAAGCAAATATGTTGCCTTAAGAAGACACTGCAGCATTTTCCTCAGAGTAGAAGAAATATCTTCATTTAAATAACCTTAACATTTGTAATAAAATAAATAAAGGGAATCACACAGACACAACTGAAGAGCTCCCTTTACAAAGGCAGCTGGTTGAGTTCACACGAGCTGTGTACATTAGACAGTGCCCCAACAACAACCAGAAAATAGGTTATTATTATTCAGTCTTCCTACATATACCTCTAGGGTAGCATTTCAGTATAATTTAAAAAATCCCTCACACATAATATAAGGGTATAGTATATATGTACACTTTCTTACACACACCTCAGTTCAAGCTAACCTTTTAGGGAGTGAAGACAGTGATAACCCAGTGTTACACGTCTTCCCACTAAAACAAGTCTGATTTTTAAAAGGTGCATATTGTAAAGAGCAGCTTGTTTTCTTTGTAATGTGAACAAGTTGTCGCAGCAGACTCAGAATCACAAGTCTGTGGATGGTTCTGCTTTTCTGCTGAGTCCCCGGGAAAAGAACTAGGTAGATAGGGGAAAACCATTAATATGTCCGAATGTCACTGAATATGTCCATTTTCCCTGAGCTTCCTTGAGCTTCTTGCAGGGGCCTTGGTGCCAAGGACTCAGCTTCACATCTCTGAGGAAGGGCAGGTGGAATGGCTCTGGGGTTCCCAACCTGCCCGACTGCATGCCTTTTCCCTTCTCTCCCGAGATGATAAAGCAGTCCTGGCAGTGCAGGCGTCACAGCCAGTCCTAGCACATGTTCCAGGTCCAAAGACATTCCCAGGCTCCTGAATGGTAGGAGAGGAGGAGCCCTGGGCTGAATCTGACATCAACTGCCAGTCACAGTTTCTAAGGCCACCCGGGAACATTCCCCAGTTACCAAGCCCAAGCGTCATGGGCACGATGCTCATCTTTCCTCCCCTGCTCAATGACACCCTCGAGCACGCTGTTGCAGGGACTGAGCCTCCAGCGGCAGCTGAGGGTTTAGAGTGTAGCACCATGTTGGCTGGCGACTTGAGGCCCCTCTTCTCGTAGGGGCTGGCCTGCCTGTTTCCGGTTAGCCATACATCTGCTTGAACTGAAAGCACTCGTTGCAGTAGCCGTTGCACTTGGCATTGCCGAAGTGATCACAGGCGGGGGCCCGGCAGCGCTGTTTGGGGGGCTCTTCAGGATTGGGTTCAGCCACGTGGGCCCCAGGGACCACTCGCTGGGTGAGGTGCTGGCACTCCATGCAGAGTTCCTCGCTGCGGCAGGCCAGGATGTTCTTGCAGGAGGCCCGGGCACACTTGGGCCTTGAGGTGCTCTGTGTGGCTCGAGGGACGTCTCTGTGCTGGCTTGATCTCTGAATGGAAAGAACAGACAGAACTGTTGCACATTTCTCAGGGAAAGGACAATGAGACCACATGTGACAGGGTGGATTCTACAAAGAGCTTTATCTGCCTGAGCAAGTTAACAACAAGAGTGCACATGCAGCCTATGAGCTGCAGCTCATAGGTTGAGCTCCAGGGAAACCCTGCAGCTCCAAGGTTTCCTTCCAATACCACTAAAAGCCAGCCTGGCCTCAGGAAGGCCGAGAGGAACCACCAATCCTAACGTGGAGGCCTGCAAACTTGGCCCAGCTCTTGGCCCAGTTAAAGTCTACTTTTCTTATATGCCATAAAGTGGAGGCACCCAGGAAAGTCTGCCTGCTCAGTTCTAATGATAAGAAATTATTTAAGAAAGTTTGCTTTCTAGGTGTCTGTGCTTCTACTACATATCAAGGATATCTCTGATCACCATTTGGCTTTCTGGAGGATGAAGAAGTTTTATACTATGGTTGACTTTATTTGCTTTTTAAAATAAATTCAAAAGTACATTTAGGCCATGAAAATTGACAATACTTAGAACCCAGGGAGCCACAGGTTCTCCTAGCAGACTTTCTTAAATAAGCCACTACTTTGAGAAGACAGAACCCAGCAGGAAGGAAAACCTGCTTATCGCAGTCAGAAGAAACTGCTCCAGCAAGGAGGACTCAACACACAGGAGGGGAAATTCCTCAAAATGTCTCACCAGTTGCTCTTCAGTCCTTTTGGCTTCATGAAATCTCTGGTTCTGAGCTTCAATGAAACACTTCTGACAGTAGCCTTCAAACATGGTGCTCCCAAGGGTGCCACATTCCCTGCCCAGGCATGGAACTGTGTTCTGGAACCTGGAAGGTGTGGGACTGGCTTTTCCTGATGCAGTGACAAAATCTACAAGAGAGTTGATGCTAATGAGTACCACACATAGGTCACCCTGCAGACACAGAGACAATGACATTGGAGAAATCAACGGGTTCCAAATACAGACTAGGCCAGCCTTAAGTAGATATATGAGACCAGCCTTTTATAAATTCAGCCAAAAAATTAATTAAAATACTATTACTGAAACATCTTTGGCTTTACAAATCTCTCACTTTGAACATGGAGCACCGATCAGTCACAGTAGCAGAACAAAGAACAGACAGTAACTGCTCATCCTCCTTTTAAATTAGAGATTTACGAAACCACAAATGTTTTTTTACAGCGTCAGTGGAGACTTCCCTCTCTCCAGCTATTCCTCTTCAGATTTTGCGATTTCTCTATTCTACCAAAGTCGCACAAGAAATCTGGTTTAAACTCTTATCTTATAAATGCCAGACACTGAGTGGCCTTATGAAAGCAAATTCCCTGACCGCTATCTGCAGGGCACTTTTGGTTTTTGGAACGTTGTATCTAGGAGCCGCTGCAATCATACAGTGCCTTTTGCCTGCACATGTGGTTGGCAGAGCCACTGTGACTGTCCCTGGGTACAAGCTGGTAGAAAGGCATGGTGGGTTCTGACCATTCTACCTGAATGCCCAGATGGGTGCCTTTCCTTAAAGATCAGGAACGAAACCTGCTCTAGACAGTAGCTGATGCATTAGGATCATTTCACTCACGTTTGTTTTCTCTGTACTCGATGAAACACAGCGTGCAAAATCCCTTGTTTTCTGGAGTCCCAAAATACATGCAGCCAGGTTTTCTGCACTTGCTCGACCCCGTCCTGTCCCCTGGAGTCCGTGCGGCTGGAGAGAGGCAGCCAGATGGGGCGGGGCTGTCGTTTCCAGGTCTGTGGCAAGAACGTGGGGAGGGACTCCGCCTGAGCTGGGAGGGATCCGACTTGGACCGCT